AAAAATTACTGTCCATGTAAAAACCTGCAAGTACTTTTATAACAGTTTTCAATCACAAAAGCTAAAAACAAACAAAAATCTGCACAGAAATATGATGTACACCTTTAATAAAATAATCAAAACTGGAAACAGCTTAGATATCCTTTAAAAATTGGCATTTTTACTCCATGGAATATTGATCAGGGTTAATATATATGAATAATACAGCCACAAGATGATATAATATATATGTATGTGTCTGTATCTTTATATTATGAAGAAGACCATGGCAGAAAATCCCCAAACTTCATGATGTATCTTATTTTAGAAGAAGCAATAATTGGAGAGTGTAAAATTATCTGTAGTTTCAGGAATATAAAAGAAACAGAAGGAAAATTACATATGTGAATGCTGAATATTAGTCTTAGAGCCATGGAGTTATTCTATGATTCTGTAATGATGCATAAGAGACACTAAGAAAATGTCAAATTCACTAAAATCTCACAGCACTGCGCAGAAGCTCCATGCTGTGTAGAAACATCACTGAGGGGTGGTGTCCCCATGACAGGAGGCAGATGGGGGGAACCATCCACCTGCTCTGCAGAAGCAGAAGCCCGCCTTCCTCTTGAAGTTGGGGGAGAAGCTGCTCCCATAAGTCACTCTGAGAATGAGGAGAGGCCATAGGGGTGAAGGCCAAAGACACTGCCCCTGAGCCCTGGGCTCTGTCATGAATGGGATCCCCCTGATGAGGCCCAGGGTGCTCATGGACCCCGAGGTTCTTGATTTCTACATGGGAAGGAATTCCTGCGGAAGTCAGTGTGGGCGAGCAGGGAATGAAGCTTTATTGTGGGGAAAGTGCTCGCTTGAGAGTGAAGGGGGCACATTCAGGGACTAGCCCCTGGGTCTTAAGGCTGCTGATGGAAACACGTGTTTAGTTAGAGGGGCAGGAGCTCACAGATGGGATCCTGAATGGGTTTGACAACTTTTGCTTAAGGCAAGGGCAGGAATTTACAGGGAGGGGTAATAAGATTTGACCCATTTGTTTGCCCAAAACCGACAGCCTCTCCAGGCCTGTTAGATAAGACAGGAGAGTTACACAAGCAGTGGCTCCCCTGTGGGACATAAACTAATAGGCTTAGAATCAATCTAGTGAGTCACTTTGTTCTGAAATGTGCATGACTGTGTTTCAGAAATACAAAAAGAGGGAGTAGGGGTCTGCAGCCATTGTGCCCAAGTCCTGGTCTACCTCACCACGGGCCCTGTTCAGGGATTGGGGGTTGGGGAAGGGAATTGCCAGGACTTGGATGAACAATCCAGAATGGGACAGGGTGGACAATGGTGGGAGCAGGTTTCTCACTTTGGGAGTGGAAATGCACGTGTGTAACCAAGGGGAGGAGCAGAGTGACCACGTGGTGATGGACGAGGGTGGGAGACGTCACAGGGAGCTCGTGCTGGTATCAGGGAGACAAAAATGGGCACATGGTCTCCTGGGTTAGCTCACTCATCTCTGTACATGTGTTTCCTACTCTCTCAGTGGAGAAGGACTTTCAATAATGACACCCCAACAGCAAGGAGTGTGCTTTTTGGCAGAAAATTGATTTCCCATACCTTCTCTAATAAACAAGAGAAGGCTTTGTATGAAGAAATTTTCAATTCCAGGTTGAGAATCATTTAATATGAGCATGGAACACCTTGCTTTAACAGAAAGTAGATTTTTCAAACATTTATCTCAGCACATAGAGTCAGCTCACACTCATATGCACAGGACAGGGGTGTCACAGAGCACCTGAGCCACCCTTAAGGACCCCCATTGGGTGAAGCAGAAACAACTGGAGCAACCAAATAAACAGACTAGAATGGGGCTGTATTTCTGTGAACATTCAAGGACAGAAAAATTACAAAGGACACAGACTCAAAAGAACGAGAAATAATTATCCCATCGTTCCAGATGAGATGGTGCAACACACAGAATATACAAAGGAATCTACAAATATGATGTGAATTCCAATAGTCAGAAGTAATTTAAGATTATATGATAGAGGAGCATTAGGAAGATCAGTTAGGTGTGTGTATACTACCAAAGAATAAGTGAGAACTCTTGGGGTTTATAGGCTTGAAAGAGAGATCCTGCTCCTTGCCAGCTTACAAGGAGAGAGATTAAAACAGAAAAGGGAAGCTGAGGAGTTACCATGGGAATCAGGTAACCTCTAGCACAGAAGGGTAGCAAATGGTGGTTACTGAAACAGGGTCAGGAAGCACACCTGTGGCCATTAAATGCTGATGTAAATTCTAAAGCAAAGCAAAGTCTGGCCTGACTTTAGATAAAAGCCAGTGAAGGCAGGAGCCCTGAATATTAGAAAACCAGCAAGGTCAGAGTGTAAGAGGTCCCTCCAACACCCATCTTCTTAGAGGGGAACAGTTGCCTTGTGCCCCTCGCTCCCTTACATGGTATTTGCCGGGGACCAGCCTCCAGCTTAATGCCGTGTCAGGGGTTCCTGAAAGGATGAGATGGCCTAGGTGACACGTTAAGGGGCTGAGGGGAAGGAGATGAGGTAGTGAGAATACACTGACACTGGATGAGGTGCAAGTATTTTCTGCTGAGGGGCTCAGCAGGTTTTTTATTTATGCATTTTTAGCAAGCTGTGAGATTACATTATCATGTGCATAGAAACAGCAGAAACAATCAGTGCATCCCTTTTCCCATAGACTTTTGGCCACTAAGTGCTCTCAGCAAGAAGGCAAACTTTAAAGTTAATAAAAAACTAAGCCTTTCACTAAAACTCATTGTTTCAGCTAAACAATAACCTAAGACAGTTGATAGCCGCCAGTACCTCCCTATCAGCTAAAGCCTAAGCAAGAAGACTTTTCTTATTCACATGGCCTTCAGCCGGAGACCAGCTCTACTCAGCTATCAGAACTTTTTCTACGTAGAAACTCCTTAACTCAAATAGCTTCATTTAAAAACTTTCCCAAGAAACTTCAAGAGAAGGCAAAAGAAGGACTTACTATAATTATTGTGTTGTAATGCTTGTCAGGCATGTTCAATAAATTGTCTCCCATTGTCAAGTGGGCCAAATTGTTTAATAACTAATTTCTAAACAGATAATTTTCTGTGCCATTCACTTACAGTATGCTGATACGTATAATTTATTGCCTAATATACTTTCTGATAATTTTTCTCTCTTCGTGACCAAGAACAAAAAGCAAAGGGATGTTAGATCTTCAGCCCCCTGGTGTGAGGCCCTTTTTCTTAGCTGCTTGCTAGTGTCTTATCTGCCTGGGGCAACAAGGCCCCCTGAAGCAGGTATTCAATACAGCTGCCTTTTCTATCCTCCACCCTGTCTCTGTGAGTTTTTCACCCACACAACAAAAACTGAATTACAATAATAGTCAAAACCTGTCTAACTGAAATATTCAGGAGCATAATTATGAGGGGATGTTCAGCTCGTGTGTGGTAGAAACTGGACAGTGGAGGTAAAAGATATCAAGATGACAGACATCAGTGGAGACCTGTCCTGCTCATGGAGAGTAGACTCGGTGTAGTAAAGATGCCAGTTCTTGCCAAATCATAAGGTTTGATGATTTCTATCTGAACATAACAGACTGATTTGGATAAAGGGACAAACAAATAGGTCAGTGTAACAGAACAGAGAATGCAGAAAAAGACTCAACTACTTGTTGACAAAGTTCCAAAATCCTTCCCAGGAAGGACAGTCTCCTGCACAAAAGGTGACAACCATTGGGGATTATCCAACCACCAATGGATATCAACTACATCTCACACCTTATGAAATGTTCACTGGAGTATATTAAAGAACTAACTAAAACATGACATTTTTGAAGAAAATAGGTGAAAATACTTGTTAAAATTTCTTGGTAAATACTTATAGACAAGACACCACCAGAAGTCTTTAAAAAATATAAATTAGACATCATCAAAAATAAATGTGTTGGGGCCTCCCTGGTGGTGCAAGGGGTTAAGTACCACACTATGAAGCTATCTGCAGCCCTGCAGCACAAGTTAGATCCCCCGCCAGTCAGGGAGCAACCCACTTGGCGAAGCAGAACTCTCCTGTCTTGCCCACTGTTCCCTCAGCAATGTATTTCAGTCAATCTGCCTGTTCTGGTCCCCACTCTGTCTCTGATGAATCCTCTCACCCCCCACATCTCTGGCCTGTTCCCCAGCTCTTGTACGCATTAATAAATAAATTTTAAAAAATGTGCTGTTCTTCCTTCACTTTGTGAAATAGTAAGACAATTAAATCACTCAAAAATAGATTATTAAGATGCAATTTGACTTACAGAAGCATAATTGGAATCCATTCCTTTCATACACATGAGTGTGGAATAGTGAAAATGCTCCAGGTGCTAAATTGGAGAGTGATGGGGAAATGTGATTTTGCAGGATCTGCTCTGGGCAAACCAGATTTAAGCAGTTATGTACGTACATGCTGCGTCTTCCTACACCAGGACTCCACTGGGAGTGGAGACGCCTCAGTGACTGTCAGCACGAAGGGTCTAGGAGTCAAACCTTGCATGTGTGACTAGACACAGGGCCTGGTGATCTGCAGACAGCAGCTGGGCTCCCAGTGTTGTTACTCCTGGTGAATATGCCCTGTGACCAGCAGGGGGCACGGTGGGGCTGTCCTCTGGGCCCTCAACAGCTGCTCAGTGAGCATATTTTTACTTTGGTGCTTGGGCCTGGGGGCTGGGCTCTGGGGTCCCAGATGAAGAGTCAGCAGCTCTGATCACTCCACCTGTCACATTCTCTGAGCAGAAACTTCAGGGAGGGGTCAGCAGGTGCTTCCTCCCAGGCCTCTCCCAGAGAGGGAAGCATAGCCTACTCCTCTACAGTGCTGGGTGAGAGCTGAGCTCCAGCCACAGTGCTCAGGGAGGGGCTGGGCAGCCCCTGGTGAGAACCCATTTGCATGCACAGCCCCTCCTGTGGCAGAGGCTGGAGAAGAAAAGGGAGCCTGCACCTGGCCTGGGCAACTATAGGGCTCAGCAGGGTTGTGAGAACCATGGCCTGGTGCCCTCTGCTCCTCATGCTCATCTCTCATTGCACAGGTAATTGGCTATGGGGAGCAGGTAGGTGGAGCTGTCTTTGTCTTGAGACCCCAGCAAAATCATCTCCGTGTCTCTCCTTCTTCCAGGATCCTGGGCCCAGTCTGTGCTGACCCAGCCACAGTCAGTCTCAGGGAACCTGGGCCAGAGGGTCACCATCTCCTGCACTGGAAGCAGCAACAACATTGGGAGTAATTATGTGAACTGGTACCAACAGCTCTCAGGAACAGCCCCCAAACTCCTGATACATGGTAGCAGCAATCGACCCTCCGGGGTCCCTGATCGATCCTCTGGCTCCAAGTCTGGCAGCTCAGCCACCCTGACCATCACTGGGCTCCAGCCTGAGGACGAGGCTGATTATCACTGTACAAGTTGGGACAGCAGCCTGAGTGGTCCCACAGTGCTCCAGGCCTGTGGGGAAGTGAGGCACAAACCCATTTCTCTTCAGCCAAGAGCAGGCACCCTGGGGAGCTGCTACTGAGGCTCAGCCTGGGGCTCTGCTTCTTCTCTGCTGCTGTCCTGGCCCAGGCTCCTCCAGGGCAGCCCCTGGGGGAGGCCCCTCTCTCCCTCTGTCCTCAGAGTCACTCCCAGCAGCACATCCCTAAGTTGAAGTGTCTCCATAGAAACATAGTGTCTTGATCTCTTCAGGTTAGGGCTGGTTACATTCAGAATGGTTTATATTCATTTTTTCCCATTCCAAAATATTAAGAATTCATTTTCCTGCCCTTCAATACATCACGGAATATCACACCCTCTGTTGTATGCTTAATAGGATAAGTCAACCCTGCTGTAGCTGCCATCTTATTTATCTAACTTGAACCGGTGCTGAGTACTTTTTCTTAGTCAATGATTTTTCATGAAAAGGAATCAGTTTAACGTTATGCAATCATAAAAATGAATCTAAGTAATTTGTCCACAGAAAAACATCCAGATGACTGTTTATATCAACATTTCCATCATTTTTTAAGGATTTATTTTGTTTATTTTATACAAGAACTGGGGTACAGGCCAGATGTGCGAGAGGGCAAGATGATTCACCAGAGACAGAGTGGAAAAACAGAACAGGCAGACTGACATAATACACTGCTGAGGAGAGCAGCGGGCGCCACAGGAGAGGTCTGCCTTACCACGTGGGGCTGGCTGGGATCAAACTGCTGCAGAGGATTCACAGCTCGGCACTCAACAGCCTGCGCCCACAGGGGAGGCCTGCAACTTTTCCATCATTATCAACAACTGAAAACAAATAAAAATCTTGGCATGATGCTTATTAGATCTTTGCATCTAATCACGAAAAATGGAGTCAACTTTGACAGCCTTCGCAAGGTAGCATTTGTGTACCAGGGGATGTTTTTCAGAACTAAGAAGAATGAACTATACAGTTACCTAATGAGACATGTGGTGATAAATTAAGTTGTAAGGAAAAGAAAAGTGACTGAAAAGCTCATCTGTGGCCACTTCCAGAGTGAGCTCACCCCAGTCTGTTCCACCTGCTCATCTCTATTAATTGTGTGTTTACACCCTCATGTCATTTATAGCAAATACTTGGTTTCAAATATCAAATATCAATTCTTTTTTTTTTTTAACACACTATAACTTTTTTTTTTTTTTAAGATTTATTTATTTATTTATTTATACAAGCACTGGGTACAGTCAGAAGCGCGGGAGGGTGAGAGAATTCACCAGAGCCAGAGCGGGGAGCAGAGCAGGCAGAAGGACCGAAGTACACTGCTGAGGGGAGCAGCGGGAGGCAGGAGAGGTCTGCGAGCCATGCGGGACCCTCCTCTGGTGGCCGGGGAGCAGCCGGGGATCGAACCAGCGCCATAGAGGCTGCGAGCAGCTTCGCAACCCAGCACTCAACTGCTGCGCCACCGGGGAGGCCCTCAACTTTTTTTTTTAAAGATTTGTTTATTTATTTATACAAGCACTGGGTATAGTCAGAAGCGCGGGAGGGTGAGAGAATTCACTAGAGCCAGAGCAGAGAGCAGAACAGGCAGACTGAGGAAGTACACTGATGAGGGGATCAGTAGGCATGCCAGGAGAGGTCTGCGTGCCATGTGGGACCCTCAACTGCGGCCGGGGATTGAACCGGCGCTGCAGAGTCTGTGAGCAGCTTCACAGCCCAGCGCTCAGCTGCTGCGCCACCAGGGGAGGCCCTCAAATATCAATTCTTATCACCAATCAGTGTCTCTGTGGAAACAAGTGAGAGCAGGAAGGTAACCAGGACCCCTGTCTGTCTGAGAGTGACAGTGCAGAGTAGGAGCCAAAAGGCTGAGGAGGGGGGAGTCTGCACGTGCCTGTTTTTATTTTATTTTTATATATATGTAGGTATGTATATTAGTGTGTGTGTGTGTGTATATATATATATATTTACATAGTTGTTCGTTTTTGTATAATGTTTCATATTTCCCCTCAGGTGTAATCCCCATAAAATTCCCACCACCAAGTCACCCCTGAACATCCCCATAGTCTCTTGTGCTCCTCCCTCCTCTTTTTTGACCCCTCTCTCTCCCCTTCCCCCACCTTATGTCTCATTTCTAGTTTGCCTGCAAGTTTTGTCTTTTTTTTTCCCTGATCCCTTGTTCGATTTCCCTGGATTCCTCCTGTAAGTGAAGCCATCCGAAATTTTCCTTCTTCCTTCTGACTGATTTCACTGAGCATTATCCCTTCCAGCTCCATCCATGTTGCAGCAATGGCATGAATTTTGGTCCTTTTTATTTGAAATTCCCCCCACCCCCAGCCACTTCCACTCCCCTGATTCTCCCAGGACAAAGCCTTTTGTCTGTTCTTGAGCAGCAGCCAGGAAAGTGGGAACAACAGGCAAGAGGAGAAACAGCCCAAGCAACATCCTCCGACCTCCCCGGCAACTGTTGAGGGAGGGATTTCCTCCTGGTTTCAGAAATGCCTGAAAGCTGGTTTCCAAAACATTACCTCTACCTGGGGTCATCCATTCTTTTTGTATACAGGCTACCTGATTCCCACGAAATGGGAGAAGCCCAGGAAAGGAACCAAAAAGCCAAGGGCGGGGCCCCTGCTGTGTGAGGGAAGGGCCTGTCCTACACTACTGCACTGGTCTCATCAGTGTAGTGGATGGGTGGTGGCACTAGAGGAACTGTCATTTTTCCTTGCACTGTGAGTCCTTCCCATGGAGAAACAAAAATTTCAACCCTGGTCATTCATCCCCAAAAGTCACCATTAGCCTGGTTAGGTCCTCCAAGTAGGGATCCCCTGCAGAGGACACTGTCATCCACTGACTTCCAGGCTCACCGCACAGTAGTTGAAGCACCTGGCAAATCGGTGATTTCAGTAAATGTCCTTTGCCCCTATTTCTCGGTTCACTATTCAGTCACTGCTTTCTAAATTCACTTCACAAACTCAAGGTACTAATCAGGTACAGCCTTTCTCACTCTAGTAATTGTCAGCGTGGGGTTACCTGCTGAGGAGCCTCCTCTGCCACCTAAATAATGGGATGCTCCCCCCACAGCCCTGTGTACATCAGATTTCCATAATCTTTAAAAGTATCCAAGCAAATTCAGTTGCAAACATTATTGAATAACTGGGTTAATCATTGATGTGAAGTAAACGGAGGAGCAACAATAGCACACACAAAATAAGTGTCTTAAAGCAAATACATTTCCTTTGTATTTTCATTTTATTTTTCAGAGGCAGAGGATCTCCCCAGTTCTCTGGCAGGTTTATAATGACAATGAATGGACGACTGATGGACAAGATCCAATCACTGTTAACTTTCTCAGCAATAGGCTTAAGCTACTGCTTTCACCTCCTGCACACCTACATATAAAGTCACACTGGGCACAGAGTCCACATCTACAGAGGAAGCTGTCACTCAAGTGTCAGGGGAGTGTCACGGGGGGAGCATCTTTTGTCCTTAATACATCTTTTGTAATACAAGTGTCTCCACATTGTCCAAGGATCTGCATGGGTAAGGTTGGTGACAGCCCTGAAGTCACCCTTACCCATACAGCTTTGTTACTTGGTATTGCACACACATTCTCACTCTTTGATTTAATAAGCCCCCTAGAAAACGAATACTTTTCCGTTCAGTCATTTCCCTTTCAGTGTGCATTGCAAAAGTTGAACTCAAGAAATGAGACTCCCACTCTAACTCACAGTTTGAGAGATCATTACTCCCTCTTCCTAAAACTGTCAAGCCCTATACAATCAAGGTGACTCATGATTGAACATGAGTCTTCAACAATTTGGCAACTTGAGTGTAGAAACTGGTCTCTAGATTCCACCTCTTGTGTGAAAGCAGCTGTGTCCAATTTGCCTTCAACAGGCTACCCTGTTTGCTGAGGATCCACAAACAGGTCCCTTCTCCGAGGGAAGGCAGAACCAGCACTGCAAGCTCAGTTTGCCTCTCCAGTTTCATCAGAAAGGAGTTCAGGGAGAGGGTTTCATTGCGAAGTTGCCTGGGAAGGACAGCTCAGGACTCGCTCATTTTCTTTGTAAAAATTTCATCAAATTCCCACATCGAACATGTTCTCATTGTATCAGAAAAAATATAGGTTGGAAGATGGTTTATATTTCTGTCAGCTTCATCTTCTTCAGCAACTATGCTGTTTTCAGTTTCCTGACACTCCCTTTGAGCAACTTCATGCTGTGGTTCTCCACTTCCCTGCTCCACCTCTTCACAGATAACATCTAACATGCTATGTGGAAAAAGGCCACGAGGGCATGAATTACCCCCTGATCCTGACCTCCTCATGTGCACATCGACCCCATCATGAGACCAGCACAGCAGTATGTTCCCATCAGCCTTTCCTTTCTTGTCAGTCTTCCTCCTACTTCTCCTCCTCCTCATGTTTATTTTTACAGTGAACTGAAACATCTCTGTGTTACACGCCAGCCAAGGCTGCTCCAGCGGGACAAAGCTGGGTCCAGGCTGCAGGGCCAGCGGTGGCTGGCACTTGAAAAAATGTTCACCTTTCCTTATAATTAGGGAAATGAAAATCAAAATCACAATGATCTATCATCATACACCTGTAAGAATTGTAACTATTATAATATCTAGAAATAGACATGATGGGGATATAGAATAAAGGGAACTCTCATCCACTATTACTACAAATGTAAATTGGAACAGCCACTCATTAGAGAAAACCACATGGAGGTTTCACAAAAAAATACATCTATATGGGCTAGAAATACTATAGAATACAGCTACTCCACCATTGGGTACTTATATTTTTTTAAAAAGAGCTTAGCTATAAAAGATATAGGCATCCTTTCATTCATTGCAGCATGATCTATAATAGCCAAGTTGTCAAACAACATAATTTTCCAAGCTGCCCGCAGCCTCTGCAATGCCATTTCAATCCCTTGCCAGCCTGCTAGGGTCCCACACGTCGCGCAGACCTCTCCTGCAGTTCCCCCTGCTCCTCTCAGCAGTGTATTTCCTCATCTGCCTCTTTCGCTCCCTGCTCTGGCTCTGATGAATTCTCTCACCTTATGGTGCTTCTGACTATAGCAAGTGCTTGTATAAATAAATAAATAAATCTTAAAAAAACGATGTGATATACATTATATATAGGAGAGAAATATATAATGAAATATGACTGCTACAAAAAAAGATGAAATTTTGCAAGCTGAGAACACATGAATGGACTTGAGAGTATTATGGTAAAGAAAATAAATCAGAGAAAGTAAGACAAATACTGCACGATTTTAATCATATGTTGAACATAAACAAACAAAGCAAAAGAAAACTCTCTGATACAGGGCACAGTTTAGTGGTTCCCAGAAGGGAAGGGGCTGAGGGTGTGGGTGGAAAAGGAAAGGGACAGATGGACGGGGATGGATGGAAACTAACCCTTCCGTGATGGTCATGACGTGGTGACCACCCAGCTTGAGTTATAATGATGTACACCTGGCACTCAACATTATAAACCAGTGTTTCTCAGTAATTGTATTGAAGGGAATAGGCTCCATCCTGCCACTCTCTGCACAGCTGTCAGAGTTGGATGCTATTAAGGGGGGTGACTTCTGACGCAGGACATAGCAAGGCCAGATGTGCAGAGTCTTTCCTGGCACCTGGTGCTCCTGCAGCGCACAGGGTCCCGAGGCGCCCTCTGGTGGTGGGCGCGAGCACTGCCCAAAGCGGGAAGACAGGACAGACCCTTTGGATCTTTAAAGCACCAGAATCCTGGGCTACAGGGGAGCAAAGAACAAAATCTACAGAACACAGGGTTTTCACTCAACCTGGAAGTGTCTCTTATCCCTTGATGTTCTGTCTGATTATGTGACTTTCCTGAGAAGAGAATTAGGACTGAGGTACCCAGAGACTTTAATGATGATTTGGTGAACGATGTCAACCTATTACTCAGTTTCCCAGTCAGTGTGTCTGAGGTCCCAGCATCTGCTTCTTTCAATCTCCCCAGGAGACAGCATGGGGACCCCAGGGCAGGAGGAACGACGAAGCTGATTTGCATGAAGCATCTTCCCCCCTAATGGGTCCAGGAGGCATGAAAAGGTTGAGGACACCACACTCCAGCCCAGGAGCCCAGGAGGCCACATTTTGGGAGTGTCCCCACCTTGGCCTGGACAGTGCTTCTGCTCAAGCTCTTCGCTTACAGCTCAGGTCAGGGAAAGGGACTCTCTCCTAGGTCTGGGTGAGGGTAGAACACATAAAAGCAGGATGACCTGATCTCTTAACAATACTTGCCTCTCTCCTGTCATTTCAGGGGCTGATTCTCAGACTGTGACCCAGGAGCCATCACTGTCAGTGTCCCTAGGAGGGACGGTCACACTCACCTGTGGCCTTAGCTCTGGGTCAGTCTCTACTGGTAACTATCCGGGCTGGTTCCAGCAGACCCCAGGCCGCACTCTACACATGCTGATCTACAACACAAATAACCGCCCCTCTGGAGTCCCAAATCGCTTCTCAGGCTCCATTTCTGGAAATAAAGCCGCCCTCACCATCAGTGGGGCTCAGACCAAGCATAAGGCCGAGTATCACTGTGTACTGTACATGGGTAATGGCATTTGCACAGTGATATGAACCCATGGGGACTTGCAGCCAAAACCTCCTCAGATGCCCAGAAGGGCTCAGCCTCAGAAGGAGGAAAGAGAAAGGCTGAGGGTAAATTCCCCTGGGGGAGAGAGGCTCTGTGACCTTGTAAGTATTGGCTAATCCACAGGTACCTCCTCCTGGCCCCCCAGACTGTGTTCATCTCCAGTGTGAATCCTGGGGACTGTGCCTGTGCCTCCTTCCTCCCTCTTTGCAGGAGTTGACCAGGAGAGCCCCCAGCTCCCCAGCTCAGAGACTCCTGCACCCCAGGAAGACTTATTCAAAGAGCACTAACAGCTACACCCTCATTCATGAATTAAGCATGCAGAGAAAGGAGCATTTCCTCTCAGGGTTAAATGGGAGAATCACTGGGAGCTTCTGGAAATGAAATTCCCCTTCTCAACCCACTGAGCTGAAGCCTGTGCTGTGAGTGAGGATCAGCTTTAACCAGCATCCAGGAGACTTGTGTGAACAAGAAACGTGGTGCCTTGTCTCTGCCTCTATTGTTATCAAGGCAATGTTTAACATGTTGTGAGGGTGACATCCCATGATACATTCACCGCCCCCCCCCCACAAATTATCCTTCAGTAATCCAAGACCCTCAGAAACAGATTTAAAAATGAAGCCATCACTGAAATTGTGGTTGAAATCAAACTACAGCCAGGAATTGAAAGATTTCAGGCAAAGGTCCTCTAAGGATTTAAGAGGAAAGTAAAAATCTGAATAAGAGGTAATATACAGGGCCTCCCAGGTGGCGCAGCGGTTGAGTGCTGGGTTGCGAAGCTACCCGCGGCTGCGGCGGAGGTTCGATCCCCGGCTGCTCGCCAGCCACCAGAGGAGGGTACCACATAGCTCGCAGACCTCTCCTGCCACCTGCTGCTCCCCTCAGCAGTGTACTTCGGTCCTTCTGCCTGCTCTGCTCCCTGCTCTGGCTCTGGTGAATTCTCTCACCCTCCCGTGCTTCTGACTGTACCCAGTGCATGTATAAACAAAACAAACTAAATAAATAAAAAAAAAAAAAACATGCCTCTATATAAAAAAAAAAAAAGAGGTAATATACAGACACTAGCCGTGAGATGATTTAGACTGATGTAAGTGCTAGATATTTTTATTCAACTATCATTAAATCCATTTTATCACTAAGTACAAAAACTCGCAACAAATGAAAAAGGAGAAAATCTTAGCACTTGTAAGAGTTCTTAAACATAAACTAAATGGAAAAATAAATTTGAAAAAATATAATTTTTCAAATATTATGTGAAAAATCTCTTCAGTGACTAAAGCATAAAAACAATTACTCATTTAAAGTACAAAAGGGCTCAAGTTTCTTCTGCCTACCTCCCCGCACCACTAATATTCTCTACAGCACACACCAGGGTGGCCTTGGGACTTCGCAGAGTTGGCCAGGCTCACTCAATTGGTTCCGACTGATATCTGTGCCTGTGCTCATGGCCCCAGTGAGAGCTGACAGTAGGTGCTTCCACCCAAAGGACAAACACAGACACCCAGATACCCCAGGACAACTCCTAGAATGAAGCCGCACACTAGACCGAGGACCCAGAATTGAATCATGGTGTGCTCTCATATTTGCATAATGTACCCCCAAAGCCACCTGGGAGAGTTGAAGGGACATTGCAGATACCAACACCATCGGTGAGTTCAGGGGAACTTATATGTCTTCACTATGGCCTAGGTTCTCAGTCCTAATCCCCCACCTCACTCACTACCCAGTTTTATTGGAAACAATCTGTACTGAAATCTTTGATTTTTCAAATACTATACAAGTGTCATGGACATAGCTTCTGGATTTATCTCTGTGTCAGTGTGATGATCTATACCATCAACACAGGGTACTCACCTCGTCACTCTGGTGAGTGGAGCACATGGGATGGGACACAGGACATTGAGTGCAGAGCAGGGCTCAGTGTGGTGATAGGAATGGACGGTGATGACCCCATCCTGACCACAAATGCCCACTGAGCTCTCCTCTCACCCGAGCCCAGGACTCCTCCGTTATCCAGGAGCCTGGAGGTGAATCCCAACCACACAGACATGGTGGGCTCATGGGAAGAAGCCCGTTGTGTGGAATATGAGCAGAGTTGGACATTTTTGCAGAAATTAATAAGGTTCACATTCAACCCATGTGCTCCTAGGGGATGCCAACTGTGCTAGCTGGGCTAGAGCAGATGAAGACCCACAGACTGAGCATCTGTGCATTATAACCCCCAAAACCTTGTCTTCAGTGCCCTCCTGTGTGTGAATATGGGGAGGGTGGGGTGGAGCAGGAAAGTCAGGTGTTGTAGCTTCGTAAGCAGAGTGGCTCTCAGTTTGTTCTCATGGAATATTCTGCAAGGAGAAAATGAGATTTCTTAACATTTTAGGGCAACTCTTGCTGCTCCATTTTCATGCTTAATCTCAATACTTCCTCGCATTTATTTATTATAACCAAAGAGTAAATTTTCCCCCTGACTCACCATCACTCAACTCACCGGCCTCCTCAGAATATTCCATGAAGAAAGATGGACTGCTCCCCAGGGCTCCTCCATGACCTGTCTGAGTTGAAAGAGAAGATCCTCTGAATGACTGAAAGGAGAATGTGTGATCACAGGTATTTTCTCACGACCCCTGAGTCTAGGATTTGGGGAATATTTCAAGATGAAGCAGAGAGGGAAAAGAGTTGTTTAGGAAACGAGTTATGGTTTCTGCAGTCACCTCTCCACACATTCACAGCAACAGCAGGAACATTAAACTCTCACATTTATTTGTTACTGAACTAAGATAGAGAGTAAACCAGGGAGGACAACTTTATTTAAAATACAAACAAATTGTATGTGACAAGGCAAAAATGTGACTAAAAAAATGACACATAATACAGAGAATAAAATCTTAATTTTTTTTTAAAGATTTATTTATTTATTTATTTATTTATACAAGCACTGGGTACAGTAAGAAGCACGGGAGGGTAAGATTCACCAGAGACAGAGCAGGGAATAGAACAGGCAGACTGATGAAACACACTGCTGAAGGGAGCAGTGGGCATGGCATGAGAGGTCTGTCGTGCCATGTGGGACCTTTGCCATCAGCTGGAGATCGAAATGGCGCTGCAGAGGCTGCAGGCAGTTTCCCAGCCCAGCGCTCAACCGCTGCACCACTGGGGAGGCCCACTAAAATCTTAATATTATAGAGTTCCATAAGTCACTTAAAAAAATAAGTCACATTTTTCACTGGTGTGAGGCTTTCCAAAGCCTTTTATTGTAGCCAAGCACTGAGTCCGATATAATCTGTAAACAAAATGAAATGCATCAAATGATATTTTGAAATATTTGCTGAATTATCCATTTTTGAATATGCCATTGGGGTGATCCCTAGAAGTTATCTGATGAGTCATTTACTTGCACTTCCTCTAAAGCCCTTCACAGATCACTGGTCCATGCCCTGCGGCAGCTGACTAAAGACACATCTGCATCATTTAGATGTTGTATAATGTACTCAATCTTTCTATACGTACCTGTTTGCGCTTCCCTGTCAGCAAACACACACAAAGTGGTGAATCACAAGCCCTGGGTTCAGATTCACAAGCCCTGGATTCAGGCCCCTGAGTAGGGGCCTGAGTGTGGTGGCAGCAGGTGCTTCCTTCCAGGGACCTCCTAAGGGTAAATCAAACCTCCCTCCCCAGTGTGGGGTATGAGCTGAGATCCAGCACCAGGTTCGAGGTAGGGATGGGCAGACCCTGGATGGGACCCCATTGGCATGCACAGCCCCTCCTGTGGCAGAGGGTGGGGAAGAAAAGAGGCCTGGGGAAGCCCAGCGCAGGTGAGCTCAGGGGCTGTGAGCACCATGGCCTGGACACCTTCTCCTCGTGATCCTCTCACTGCACAGGTGGGGACAGGCCTCCGAGACCCCGAACTGTCCCTTGGTCTGATTTAATCCCAATAGATCCTATTCCTATCTGGGATCGATGTTTATTTGGATTTGTCTTGTCTTGAGTCTGCAGGTGCCCTCTCCCAGACTGTGCTCAGCCACCCTCCCTCTCTGCGTCTCCTGGACCAACAGCCAGGCTCACCTGCAGCCTGAGCAGTGGATACAATGTTGGTAGTTTCAAGATACTCTGGTACCAACAGAAGCCAGGGAGCCCTCCCAGATGTCTCCGGAACTACAACACAGAATCAGAGAAGGACCAGGGCCCCTGGGTCCCCAGCTGGAGCCAAAGACGCCTCCGCCAATGCAGGCCTCCTGCTCACCTCGGGCCGCAGCCTGAGGATGAGGCCGACTACTACTGCAGTATATATCATGGAAACACAGACTCTTCACAGTGCTCCAGACCCAGGGGGAATTGAGACAAAATCCTACCCACTGCTCTGCTCTGCTCACAAAGGGAGCCTGGGGGGACCTTCCACACCCACATGGGTGGGCTCTCACCCTGCACAGACAGAGCCTCATACACATTCCTCAGCCCTGAGAGACCCTCAGGATCTGGCCTGCCCATGTCAGCAGGGACCGGGGCCCACAGCGCCCTTCCCTTGATGCCCCACGTTCAGTTCTCAACTCCGGGGAGGACTTAATCTTTGACTCCTCATCTTTGAATGGTCGGTCAGGGATTGTCTCCTTCATAGGTTTGGAGGATTAAATTATGTCATCATGTGAATTATGTCATGTGTGGCCCCCACAGCTGCCAAATTCATTGGCCCCACTCACCCACCTATTCCAGGAGCAGACACCCCAGGATGGCCTCTTCCCGATCCTCCTTGACTCCTGCTCTTTCCCTTCCCCCCGTTCCATGACTTACCCATCAAGGCAGGGAATGTAAAGAGAACTGGTTTTCATTTGAAAAATGGATAAAACCCAGGATCTATCAGATACGAGACAGTCGTGATGGACAGGGCGTGAATCTCTGGGTGTCAGCGCGGGTGTCTGCAGCCCCGACACAGGTTCTCTCCTCTCTCCCTGGGGATGGGGACACGGGACATGGAGACACACGTGGCCCAGCGTGGTGATAAGATTGGACAGTGCTGACCCCATCCTGACCACAAATGCCCACTGGGCTCTCCTCTCACATGGGTCCAGTCCCCTCTATTGTGCCGAGAACCTGGAGGTGAATCCCAACCACTCGGACATTGTGGACTCCAGGGGAGAAGCCCTGTGGGCGCAGACATGAGCAGAGTTGGACATTTTACAGATTTCAATGATGTTCTCATCCAACCCATGGGCCCCGAGGGGCTGCCAACTGTGCTCAGTGGGCAAGGAGACATGAAGACCCGCAAAGTGTGCATCTGTGAAAAGAAGGGGAAAGCAATGTATCCTCCAGAACTTTGTCTCAGCGTCCTCCTGTGTGTGATGTGGGGAGCGTGGGGGTGGAGAAAAACCTCAGGTGTTACAGTTTCATAAGTAAAGTGGCCCTTAGTTGAGTGACATGGAATATTCTGCAAAAAATGAGGGTTCTTGTAATTCCTGTTCACTTATTTCTATTCCATGTTCATGTCTAATATCAGTTCTTCATGGTATTTATTGATTAAGGCCTCTGATGCATTTTCCTTCTAGCTCATATCTCTACACTCAAATCTGTCTCCTCAGAATTTTTCTGGTTTCTTGTGACTATGATGGTGGAGTCTGAACAGCACCCCAGTGCTCCTCCCTCTTCCTGCCTGAGTGTTGGGGTCTCTAATATGGCAGTGGTTCACAGACTGCCCTTGGTCCCTTCTGGAGAAGACAGAGGCCTGGCCTCCCTTTCCTCCCTGCAGAGCCCACTCACCGCATGACCTTCTACACCTCTGATGACAAGGAGTAGCTTCGATTGTTTGGGCCCTTTGCACAGGTGGGATGTTGATGTGCAGTGAGCTGAGGCTGCTGTGCAGACACCTGGCTGTTGGTCTACAATGTGAGGGGTGCTAGGTGCAGAGGGTGAGCCCTGAGCCCAGCACTGACCAGGATGCCCACGTGTCCAGTAGCAGAGTCTGCTGTGTCCAGACCTTGCTCCTGGCCCCACAGCTGAATGCTTTGAGAGCTCCCCTTGTGCTGCAGAGGTCCCCCAACCCTACCAGGTGTAACACATTTCCTACCACTTCTGGGTATCTTTTTTCAACTGGATCCTCTAGAGGAGGGGCTTGTGCAGCCATCAAAAAGTAGAGTATTTGCATGGAGTCCTCTCACCTTCAGGAGGGGACATATAAGACTGCTGGTGGGCTCAGGTCTGGTGTGGGGTCAAGAATAGGACCTGGGGGAGCATCACCCCATGACCAAGGCTCCCCTCTCTTCACCATGCCTGCTCTCTGCACAAGAACTGCTCACAAGCAATTCTGGGAGATGACATCTACCTCCTCCTTGAGAACAGCACTGCTATTATTCATTGCACAATCGTTTAGGGACATTATTGCCGGGGACCAGCCTCCGACAAAACGTCTTGTCAGGGGTTCCTGAAAGGATGAGATGGCCTAGGCGAAAACGAAAGAACTGAAAACTTAAGGACTGAGGGGAAGGGAATGAGGTAGAATGAGGAGACACTGACACTTGGTGAGGTGCTAGTATCTTCTGCCGAGAGACTCAGCAGGTCTTTATTTATTTATTATTAGTAATAATAATAAGAAAATACATTATCAAGTGTAAAGCATAAACAATTAGTATATTATGTTTTCCATAGACTACTGGCCCCTACGGGTCTCAGCTAGACGACAGCTTTCAAGGTTAACAGATAATAAACCAAACCTAACATTAAAGCTACTTATTTTTTCATTCAGACAATTATTTAAAACAGTGAATAACCGCCAGTGCATCCCTATCAGCTAAAGCCTAAGCATCAAAGGACTATTTTTATTCATATGACCTTCAGCCGGAGACCAGCTGCAGTTCAGCTATCAGAACTTTTTCTACCTAGAAATTCCTTAACTCAAATAGTTTCATATTAAAAACTTTCCCAAGAAACTTCAAGAGAAAACAAAATAGAAGGACCTGCTATGATTATTGTATTGTAATGCTTGTCAGGCATATTCAATAAGTTGTCTTTCATTGTCAAGTAGGCCAAATTGTTTAATAATTAGTTTCTAATTTTCCATGCCGTTTATTTGCAATATACTGATGCATATAATATAGTGCCTAATGTACTTTTTTGGGAAATTTTTTCTTATTTATGACCAAGAACAGAAAGTGAAGGAATGTTACATCTTCAACCTCACGGTGTGAGGCACAAGGAATCTTCAGCCCCACGGTGTGAGGCCCTTTGGGCTTCGCTGCTTGCCAGTGTCTTATCTGGCTGGGGCATCAAGGCCTCCTGCAGCACCTCCCCCTTTTTTGTTTTTGGCCATCATTTGCATAGTTTGTAATTCAACACGTGTCTGATTGATAGCACAGAAAAGCAATTTAATAAACAATGGGAAGAGTATCAATATAATTATGGTGACAAGCAAAACAACACCTAAAGTAATAAATGATGGGAACCAGGCGGCCTTAGTGGTATAATGTTGCAAGGAAGCCAGGAAGGAAGCAGCAACTTCTGCAGGTGTGGAGGAGGGGGCATGAGCTAAACTAATTGCCTTAATATTTTTTTGCAGAGCAGTAAGGTCCAGGGAAACGTTTGTATTATTTCAAACACCCAGTAAATGATTTTTGACATTATTTTAAGAAACAGAAGAAGAGTTATAAACATGTGAAGTGACACAAATTTATTTGTAATCAGAAAGACATTTGGTAGTCAAATGTGTTTTTATGTGTTGAATTTGATTGCCAATATGTAAAAGTGATTTCTCAAGAACATTTAAACGAGCTTTAAACTTATTATCAATGTGGTCTTGGATAATTAAAGCGTGTGTGATGTTACGAGACAAATCATTAACATGGGAGGCAGTGTGAACTTGTTGCACGAGAGTAGTAGTAGAAACAGCAACAGAACTAATAATAGCAATAAGTGCCGTAATACCCAGTATAAGTGCCGCTACAAACCTTTTGGAGCGACGCAGTCCCTGTCCCACAAGCTGAAGAGTATACAGTCCAATGTCATCATACCACGGCTGTTGTAAGCTTACAGGGAGCATGACATAAGGAGGTTGATGTAAGATAACAAAAGTAGCTTTAGACAATGAGCCAACAGAGGTAATACAGTTGGTGAGAATGCAGTCAGTACAATTAACATGAAAAATATGGTGATGATAAGTAATGGTTAATAGTCTGGGGCCCTCAACAAGGAGGGTATAAGGGGGGCCCACACAAGCCCCTACGGTGGAAGCATTAACAGAATGTCCAGGTCGGCGAAAACGCACAGGTGAAGTGGCGGCAAGGAGGTGAAACAAGTCCGGGTATGCACGGGAACCATTTGAAGTGTTGACAATGTAGGCGGGAGTAATCCATCCCGCTGAATACCACCGGGTGACAGGTTCCAGAGGTGGAATGAAGTGATTCGACCGGTTGTAGATGAGAGCGTCCTGCAGGAGAAACCTATAGTCCTCGGGGACATTAGTGGCGGATGTACCTGCTCCAAGCACTGAAAAATCATAAACAGAAAGATTAGTCTGGTAAGGCTGGTAGCGAAGTCCTGCAGAGGGAAACGTACAAGTATGCCAAGTGGGAAATCCATGATCTCTGTCAATAGTATTCCGGGAGTCATCTGAGTTGTAAATTGAACAGGCTGGGAGAGTGGAGGACACTGAAACTCGAGCTATGTTTTTATTAGTGCTGCGAGGACCAAGGAGAGATAAAAGCAGTACCCATAAATCACGGTTAGGTCCGGAGGAGGAAGGCTTTTGGAGATCCTGTTTAAAAATACTTGTCATCAATAGGTAGGCAGCCAGGTAGTTGAGACTTTATATAGTCAAGATTAGATGTAAAACACATAGGAGGAGAATTCATGCATCCCTGAAAAGAAAAGTTATTAGTGCTTATAAACAAAACAAAAGAGTATGAATCGTCACCTAGTAAATCAGAATAATTAGTGAACACACTGGGCGAGGGAAATCCCCAAGGAGTGGGATAGAGAAAGAGGGGATCCAGGATGATGTGTGCATCTTGCTGTACAAGTAGCTGTCGAGCATTAGAGGTTAGGTTTCTGAGCAGATTTTAATTGTCATGATAAGACGTCTTACAAACCCGAAGGTGGTGCAGGGAAGATGATGATCTTCCAGCAGGGGATCTGGAGCAATGGCATCTTGGAGGAGGTGGATAGGGTCCCAGAGGGCTGCACCTATGCATCTTGGGGCGATGTGTCGGTGAAGGCTTTTGAAACATGGTGTCGGATCAGTCTGTCAGGAATCCAAATTGGGCCATTTGAATTCTGTGGAAAGATATAAGCATAGCCTCTCCCATTTGTTAATAACACATTAGGGCCTTTCCATGTTCCAGAAATGAGATTTTTCCACATAGCTTGAGGTTTAGAGTCCAGTTGGTCAGGATCCCAATGTCTATTAATTGTTGACATTCCCTTTACTGTAATGAACACAGTAAATGGAAGGGTACTCATCCCTAAAGGATGACAAAACCATATCCACAAATTTTTGACATCAAGTCGGACTGTTTTTCATGCCCTGAGGGAGAACTTTCTATTCATCCTATTGAAACAGCCTTTTAAAATTTACTGATGGGACACTAAATGCAAATCTTTTACAGTCTTGGGGATGTAAAGGGATGGTAAAAAAGCAATTTTGCAAATCAATAACAATAACATGTTCATCTTTAGGGATGGCCACAGGTGATGGTAAGCCTGGTTGCAAGCATTCCATATCTTGCATAGTAACATTTATTGCTCTTAAATCCTGTAACAGTCTCCATTTTCCTGATTTTTTTAACAATAAAAATTGGGGTATTTCATGGTCCTAAAATTAATTGATCTGTATTAATTGATCCTGTATTAGGTTTGTTACAACCTGTATTTTTTTCTTCTGTAAGAGGCCACTGCTCAACCCACACTGGTTTATTATCTTTCCAGGTGACTGGGTCGGCTGCAACTTGAGCAATGGCCCCTAGGTTAAATTTTGACCGTACCCCATACCGGCCTTAGCGCTTCTGGGAACTGGCTCAATTGGAGTTGTTTTCCCATAAAGATTTTTTTTTTAACCCTTGGTCAGGGTGAAAGCCCATTTGCAACATTTGTGATGTAACTATATTATTAGGGCTGAAAATTAATGTTTCTATTTGCGATAACACAGCTCTTCCCCATAATGTCATAGAAAGGGAAGGAATAAAATAAGGTTGAGAAGTCCCGGACACCTGTCCATTATTTTTATTTAAAATTTGAGAACTTTTTGCCACATTTTGTGCTGATCCCAGTCCAACCAAAGTAAAGGGCGTGGCTTTTGTGGGCCAGGTGTTAGGCTAATTATGCCCTGCTATGCAAGTAACATCAGCACGGTGTCTAACAATTCCTTAATTGCTTTTTTTTTTTTTTTAAATAGACATTACTAAAACTTTTAACAAATCATGATAGTGGTTTCTTTTTAGTAATCCAGAACACAAGGAGGTGTTTTGTGTGTTTGTCACCCCAAAATACTACTTTAAACATTGCAGTTTTTTAAAATTGACTTAAAAACAGTATAGCTTAGTTTTACTTGATAATGTTAATATGACAAAAAATTTACATATGTAAGTATATATATATATATATACACACACACACACTTTTTTAGTCAAGAAAAGAAAAACACTTTAAAGATACATTTAAACAGTAAATTGTTAATATTTAACATAACTTTAATGCATATATGCTTTGAATTTTATGATAAAACTTGAACTAGTTCTTGTATATCAAAAATTTTTGCTCATGATTTTAAAATTTGTTTTTATGAGAACTTATATAGGCGCCGTTTATGATTAGTCCTCCGGAGGTAAAAAACAAAACAAAACAAAAACACAAAAGCAGACACAAACAGACACAGAGATTTCTTGATATACATTTTAAATTTTGGCCATGTGTATATATTTAAGACATAGTTATTTTACCAATATGTGTGAAGATACTGAGGTTTAGAATTTTGCTCAAAAATGTCTGTATTACCACTTTATATTTTACCAGGTTAATTAGTTTTAACAAGAAACTTAACTTTTCACAGGTCCAATAAGTAAATTTAAAAGCTTTATTCAACCAATAAGTATTTTGTGTAGCTTGTTAGCAAGTCAAAAGTAACTCAACAGTTTTGCCTAAGACAATTTAGACTTTAAAATCAGAGAAACACAGGGAAATAGAACTATTTTTGTACAATGAACCAAAATAGTTTTTTTAAGGTGGACAATAGAAAAGTTTAGTCCCCCACAGCAGGAAGACAGTAGAGACCTGCCAGTGATCCCAACACTGGAGAAAAAGTCCAGGCAGCTGCTTGTTGAGATCAAGGGCAGCCCCCACCAGCCCATTGCAGGGGGTTTATATTATTTTAATAAAAACCTTTTAGTCATATTATAGTCATATAATCTTACATAGTCATATTTAACCATTTTCTATCACTTTACCAACTGTGAATGAACTTTGAATACTATTATTTAGAAATGCCTTATTTATTTATTTATTTTAAAAGAAACAACGGCAAAACTCCACCAGGGGGAACCTAGCCTCCTCCCCAAATAATTAACAGGAAAAGATTGGAGCATTTTTTCTTTTATTTAAGATTATGACACATTATCTCTTACTTGTTTTTGAGTTTTTATTTTTATCTCAACAATTTTAGCCAAGTCGGGGCTGGAAATTTGGGCTGGATTTTGGAATGGTCTCATAATTGGGAGCCGATGCCTCTGCAAAGAGGTCAGTACTAGCTCTAGAATCAAGTTTTGGCTTTTGAAAAACAATTTCACTATCCCAAGAATCCTGATCACTTTCTCTAATACTGTTTTGTTAATACGGGGCTGTCAGTTGAGTCCTCTTTGATGTCCTTTAGGCATGCAGACAGCCATAATTTTCTTCTGTCATTTTAGAAATCAAGAACAACACATCTCAACAAAATTTAGGAAACTAGCCAATTGTGCATGAGAGGTCTTAAGGCCTCTCTTAACAAGTATACTTAGATCAATAAAGAGTCCTCTTTCCTTAGACTCAATATGGCCCAATGCTTCTCAACGATAAGACACTCACTCGCCTTATCACGTAATAAGACACTCACTCGCCTTATTACGGTTCTGACTTACTGCTCCCCTCAAACCTGCTTTCTCTACAGGCGGGTATGCGCCCTACCCTATGGAGCAGATCCTAGCCATCCCCGCACGGGAAAGAAATCTTACCTTTCAAGTCCCTGCTCCGGGCGCCACTTGCCGGGGACCAGCCTCCGACAAAACGTCTTGTCAGGGGTTCCTGAAAGGATGAGATGGCCTAGGCGAAAACGAAAGAACTGAAAACTTAAGGACTGAGGGGAAGGGAATGAGGTAGAATGAGGAGACACTGACACTTGGTGAGGTGCTAGTATCTTCTGCCGAGAGACTCAGCAGGTCTTTATTTATTTATTATTAGTAATAATAATAAGAAAATACATTATCATGTGTAAAGCATAAACAATTAGTATATTATGTTTTCCATAGACTACTGGCCCCTACAGGTCTCAGCTAGACGACAGCTTTCAAGGTTAACAGATAATAAACCAAACCTAACATTAAAGCTACTTATTTTTTCATTCAGACAATTATTTAAAACAGTGAATAACCGCCAGTGCATCCCTATCAGCTAAAGCCTAAGCATCAAAGGACTATTTTTATTCATATGACCTTCAGCCGGAGACCAGCTGCAGTTCAGCTATCAGAACTTTTTCTACCTAGAAATTCCTTAACTCAAATAGTTTCATATTAAAAACTTTCCCAAGAAACTTCAAGAGAAAACAAAATAGAAGGACCTGCTATGATTATTGTATTGTAATGCTTGTCAGGCATATTCAATAAGTTGTCTTTCATTGTCAAGTAGGCCAAATTGTTTAATAATTAGTTTCTAATTTTCCATGCCGTTTATTTGCAATATACTGATGCATATAATATAGTGCCTAATGTACTTTTTTGGGAAATTTTTTCTTATTTATGACCAAGAACAGAAAGTGAAGGAATGTTACATCTTCAACCTCACGGTGTGAGGCACAAGGAATCTTCAGCCCCACGGTGTGAGGCCCTTTGGCTTCGGCCCCACGGTGTGAGGCCCTTTGGGCTTCGCTGCTTGCCAGTGTCTTATCTGGCTGGGGCATCAAGGCCTCCTGCAGCACATTATAAATGTCTGTACCTGCCAGAGCATAGAGCAATGCAGTGATATGGTGCTGAGGATTCTTGTCACATTCAGTGAGGTGGGGAGATGAGGGATAAGGAGGAAAATGTAACACCTTGAGTCTTATTGATGTTGCTTGAGGTAGGATGAGATGTGAATCAAGTTTTGGATAATTTGCATAGTTTTTCCTCCTAAAATGGCTCACAGTATTATTATCTATTCTTTTTACTGTCCAGGATGATAGGGGTGTGTGCTGCTGTGAATGATCCAGGGTCTCCGATACCCTGTGATTTCACAGATCCCAAATCAGGCCCTTCTCTCCCCCACAAAGAGGGCCATCACCTTGAGAACCATAGAAGGGACATATGAAGCCATGAGTGTGAGGGATGTAGGAGGTCTGAGAACAAGAAAGGGTTTGAGGTGTGTGAGGGGAAAGGGCAGACCCTGCAGCTCCCAAGGGGAGGCAGGTGGTGGGGTTCATGCCCAGAGCAGTGAGGGTCCTGAGGGGGTGAGCAGTTTCTGACCTGCCTGAGATGAAGGAGGAGGATCCTCTGAATGACTGAGGAGAGAATGTGAGATCACAGGTATTTGCTCAAGACCCCCAGAGTCTAGAGGTTTGGGGACTTTTGCAAGGGGAAAGCAGAGTAGAAAACGGGTGTGGTGAGGGAAATGGATTGTGGTTTCTGAATTCAGCTCTCCACACATTCCCGGCTATGTGAAAACATTAAACTCTCACTTTCATTTATTATTTAAACTATCATAGTGAGTAAGTCATACAGGAAAAATATTTATTTAAAATAAAACCAAATTGTATGTGTCCTGAGAAAAAATTCTAACAAATTATATGACACAGATATTGCAAAAGCCAAAATCATAAGATTACAAAGCTCCATGTGGTACTCAAGAAATATGTTACAGGTTTCACCGGCGTTAATTTTTCCGAAGACTTTCACTAAATCATTTCTAATTGGTAAACAATAGTAAATACATTTTGTATTTTCAAATTGTTGCTGAATTACCGACATTTCAATATGCCGTTGATGTCATTTCTAGGAATTTCCATTCTGTGACATTTCCCTGAGATTTCTCTAAAGCCCTTCACAGCTCGACCGGCCCATCCTCAATAGCACAGGATTTGATGCTCTTCTGGATCATTTAGCTTTTAGTATAATGTTCTCAAAATACTTCTGTAAGTACCTCTTTGCACCTCATTGACAGTACACAAATACAATGTATGGGAATCACAGTCCTAGGAATCAGAACATGGAACTGTGAATAGAGAAAGTTTCTCCTGAGCTGCAGACACCCATTGGGCTCTCAGAACTTTGGGCCAATGTGAGTGTTTGCCAAGAGACCAGCAGGGGGCGCTGTGGGACTGCCCAGTATTCTACACACACCAGGCAGTGAGGTCATTCAACACCAAGGAGCTTGGCCTAGGTCTAGGCCCTGTGCTCCCAGGTGGGAACTCAGGGCTGTGTTCTTTCTTGTGTGGCACAACTGCTGAGTAGGGACATGTGTATGGTGGCAGCAGGTGCTTCCTCACAGTGTTTTCCCAGGGGTGAAGAAACCTTGCTGTTCCTGAGTGTGGGTGTGAGCTGAGCTCCTGCACCAGGGCTCAGGGAGGGGCTGGGCAGTCACAGCTTGAAACATATTTGCATGCACAGCCCCTCCTGGGGCAGAGGGTGGAGGAGAAAAGGAGGCCTGGGGCAGCCCAGTGCCATGTGGGCTCAGGGAAGTGTGAGCACCATGGCCTGGACCCCTCTCCTCCTTGTTCTCCTCTCTCACTGCACAGGTAACTGAATTTGGGGCTGGGAAGTGCCCTGGGAAGATGCATGGGCCCCGGATAAGTCCTCTTGTTTCTAGACCCCAGCATCACCATCTCTGTGTCTCTCCTTCTTCCAGGATCCTGGGCCCAGTCTGTGCTGACACAGCCACAGTCAGTCTCTGGGAACCTGGGCCAGAGGGTCACCATCTCCTGCACTGGAAGCAGCTCCAACATCGGGGGTAGTTATGGTGTGGGCTGGCACCAACAGCTCCCCGGAACAGCCCCCAAAACCCTTATATATGGTACTAGCAGTCGACCCTCAGGGGTCCCTGATCGATTTTCGGGCTCCAGATCTGGCAGCACAGCCACCCTGACCATCGCTGGACTCCAGCCTGAGGACGAGGGTGATTATTACTGTGCAAATTGGGACAGCAGTCTGAGTGGTCACACAGTGTTCCAGGCCTGTGGGGAAGTGAGTCAAAAACCCTTTTTCTCTTCAGCCAAGAGCAGGTACCCCTGGCAGCTGCTGCTGAGGCTCAGCCAGGGTCTCTGCTCCTTCTGGGCTGCTGTTCTGGCCCAGGCTCCTCCAGGGCTCCTTCTGGCACAGGCCCCTCCCTCCCTCTGTCCTCAGAGTCACTCCCAGTAGCACATCCCTAGGTGAGGGGTCTTCAAAAAAAAGAGAATTTCCTTTGCCTCAGAATAATTTACTAGTTCTAAGGAGATTTGAATTAGTTTATTTTCTCTGAGTTTTCAATAAGTGAAACAAATCTGGGACTGTGAACCTGTCAAGGGGTCTCAGCACGACTTGGCTGCTCTGGAAGGATGGCCCACTGCAGTTTGCACCTGATTTTATTATTTGCTTAATTGAAAGAAAGGACTGGTTTTGTGTGATTTCCATCTCTGAGTTGGTCATACAGGAAATAACAACAAATAAAATTATTAAAAATTTAAAAAACTTTTCTGCTGAGATAAACATCTTTGTGAATACTCGAATTACCTAATTCACAACAAGCAAAAATGAAAACAACCAAAACTCTTCACCTGGATGTTTGTGACAGCTTTATGCATCCCAACACCCCACCCTCCACCGTGGGAAAAGCACAGGTGTCTCCTGTAGGTTGTACATTTAGGGCAAATTGAGAGGAATGAACTATCAGTCACAAGCATGGATGTTAATTTCAAATGGGTATTTCTTACAAAA